TCCATTTGTTTAGTTTTAATTGTACAAATGGTATAAAGAAATAAAGAGTATAAGTTCGGAATAGAAATAATCTGCTTTACAAATCTAAGAAAAACGTAAATTAATCAATGAGAACGAAAAAGAAATCCAATAGAGATTGAGAACATTCTCGAAAAAACAAAAGATCAGAGGAGGAGAGAGAAATTATGATGCCACTGTACCTTAGCAGCAAGAACAAAAATGTTTGAAGAGAATTTATATGAGAGAAAGAAAGAAAGAAAAGAAAAGTATGAGCTGAAAAATGCAGTCGTTTATGACCTTAATGCCCTTACATATTTAATTGTTTCATGTGAAATAAACACTTTTTTCTTTACTGAAAAATAGGTGGTCCAAAAATGGGCCACCGGTCTTCAAAGGGTTAACGTAAAAGTCTAATGAATGTTCATTGGTCATCGTGTATAGGTTACCAACTGAGACAAAGGGACAGCGATGTACCAGTCGGAGTCCTACACGAAATTTCTGCTGTAAGATTTGTTGTTGCGACTCTGGAAGTAGAGGAAAAAATGGAAACAACTATGCAAAGTGGGAAAACGTATACGAAAAAAAACATTGTCTCAACGCTTTAATAGACGTACACCTTCTTGTTCTTAACTATTTGAGTTTAGCTAGAGACTTTTGGATATTTCCTACACATCTGATTATTGATGGTTTTAGGGAGAGTTTACTTATCCATGTGAATCCTAAATCTTTAAATTCGTTTACTAATTCAATTTTTTGACCATTCATATTTATTTTTATTCTTGGCTTTTTTGTTTGTGTATAGAACGATTGCGCTACCGTTTTAGAAGCAAGACTCGTGTACTTTGAATATTCGAAGTAATGGACTAGACTTTTGGTAAATAACCCCTATAGGCTGAACTCGATTTCTGTACAAAAACATCCAAATTTATTGATGTGCTTCGATACAAATCGTAACTATTTAGCTAGGCAATGATCTTAATCAACCGATGCCGCTAAGCAAATCGCGCTAATTTTCATAGAAAAAATCTTTACCTACCGAAATGGTTACAATTTCTATTGAAGCACATCAATAAATTTGAATGTTTTTGTACAGAAATCGAGTTCAGCCTATACTCAAGCAGACAAACTTTTGGGGAAAAGCGTTTAAACGTACAAAAAGGGCAAAAAATAGATGTTTTTGGCTCACCGTCGGGAACCGTAAGTGTGAACCAAAAACGTTCACTTTTTGCCAATTTTAGGCCAATTTTTGTGCGTTTAAACGCGTTTTCCCAAAAGTTTGTCTGCTTGGGTAGTGTTTATCTACCAAAAATCTAGTCCATTACTTCGAATATTCAAAGTATACGAGTCTTGCTACGTAGGCGATGATAATTTGCATATCATATCTCTCTATTATGAGATATTTTTCTGAAGTTTGAGGTAACAATACATCACTTTGGGACAATATATCCTTAAAGTTTCTGCTCAGTTGATTGAAATCTCACGTAAGAATGAGATCACTTTTTTGAAAAATTCAAGTTACATACAAGTTTTAAGAGATGATCGAGTCTTGATCTTTCTATAGACTTATGTTCCCAGAGTTCTTCATCGATGGGTGAAAGTCGCGAGTCGATACTTGGTTTTGTTCTCGAATTATTGAAAAACAACAATGGGGCATATTATTTTTTTAACGGACGGTAGATCAAATAAATCGCGTCTGGAGTCCATAGCGGTTCTTTACCAAGCTCACGAGCCACCCATCATTGATGGCCTGCGCAAGCCGATGAAAGTTGGTGGCTACGCAGACAGTGGCGCTGACATTGCGTTTGTTCTCCGTCAGCGAGGCGTATCCATTATTACCCCCGTGAATGAGCCCGATGTTTCCAGGAACCTCGACTGGGTATTTCCAGACACGGCAGCTGGAATCACTCAAGCACGTGCTCAAGGTGCACAAGTGCTCTGGTTGAACACTGTTCTCTTCAAGCAGCACCCTATTGAGATATTTCTTCGCGAAGGAGGTCGCGTCGTCGGTCAACCGCCTCAAATATCCGAACAGTTCGATGACAAATGGATAACGAAGGAATTTCTCGGTGCTTACGGCTTGCCTATGCCTCAAGCAATCATTCTGAATCAGCTCAATATCGAACAATTTCGCCAACACCCGTTCACCTTCCCAGTGGTGCTCAAACCAATTCGAGGCCGCGGCAGTGTGGGTGTGTATCAGATTCACACTATCGCTCAGCTGATCGAACAAGCCAACGATATGCTTCAGTCGGAAAAATTCGGCGATGCCCTGATGGTCGAGCACTACTTACCTGGCGAAGAAGTTACCGTCGCCGTCATGCCTCCTGGTACATACGTCGTTTGTGATGAGGAACGGATCTTCGAGTTACCCTGGTGCTTACCGACTGTCAAGCGTTTCGATCATAGGGATGGAATTGCTCTGTCGAACACTGAAGTACTGGTGACCACCAACAGCAAGGTGCTGGAAGAAGTAGAACGCAATCGACCAGCGATAGTGGAATTAGAGAAGCATTGTGTCACAGCTGCTCAGCTCGTCGGTGCTCGGGCGCCCATTCGCATTGATTGTCGGCAAAACTCGCCAGACGGATCCTTTTACCTAATTGATTTGAACATGAAGCCGAACATGACTGGTGCAGGACGGCCTGGACGCGAAAATATGAATAATCTTGTCGCGATCGCTGCTGAGGCCATCGGTTGGAACTATGGTGATCTGATTGAAAACATGGCTCGTCAAATGTGGTCATTACCGTAACAGTCTCTTTTATATTTCACTGTTTGCATATCAGACTCCATTCGTACACGTCCATTAAGTTTTTCGATGAATTCATTCGCTGTTTTCCATCCAACAACATTTGAACTACAATAAAACTAAGTGTTCGTGCATGGTGTATTCAATTTTGAACTAAACACGGATTATTTTGAAATGTCTGAACTTTCGAAATAATCCGAGCTATTCGTTTGTACTGTTATTTCAACAAGCATGTTTCAAATCATATGTTGATGAGTGAAAGTGAGAATAATTCAATCAAAAAACAGACTGACCTATCTCTTGAAGGAAAGACAAGTTCTACCTGCTAGTCTCAACTCTGGCTTTTTAGCAATCGGTCTTTGTCAAAATAAAATTATATTGAAGTAGTGTGCTTGTAAATAACGATAAATGCAGAGTTGGGTGTGGGTATGGGGTGTGAGTGTGGGGTGTGGGTGGGGTATAGACATCGGCGTAACCAATATTTTTTGGTCACGGTCACGTCACGGTCACGATCACGATCGTTGCCATCGTGACCGTGATCGTGAGTCACGATAGTCACACCAATCTCTATTGGAACGGCTATTTTCTATTTCTCAAAATAGCATACCTTTCTCTCCCAGTAGAAAAGTCCTATATTAGAAGACTTTCCATAATAGAAGATCCTCTTGAAGAAAATATGTACGAGACTTAACATAAGACCACATTCAATTAATTAATTTTTCGAAAAACCAAAACTTCGATTACTGGGTTTACACCATAATATGTCTAGTTTTCAGAATTCTGAGCTGACAACCTCAACTCAGTGTTTGCAACATTTTATCTAGACTTTTAAAATCCTAAAAATGTCTTCTCAAAGCCTCAAAATCGCTTTGGCTTTCTGAGGAACCTTTTTATTTAAACATTGTAAAAATGAAAGAGACACAATAGACGACCCTTTGGAAAACTTTTGCGGTTGGATACAACAGAAAACCTTGGGTCTCATCGTGTGAAGGGGCGGAGGTAATATAACAGACACACGAGCAACATTAAATATGAAAAAAATTGATCAATTTATGTTTTTGAGAAAAAATCTTAAAGATCTTGAAACTTTGTTTGACCAAAGCCTCAAAGTAAATGAACGAAATCAGAACAAATGGAAAAATGATCAATCGTCAAGTAAGTCGTCTGATAAAAGTCAAAAAAGTGAAAAATATATGCAAATCACATTATTCTTGTCATGAAGACGATGATACTTTTTAATGGCACATTTTTTCTAAACTATTTTTATGCGAACTGTTTAAAATATATGAATACTGGATATATTTCCAAGTAGTTTGATTCTACTGCTTCCATTTCTTCGTTCTGAGTTAGCATTGTTATGTTCGAAGTGTTCCCCTTCGAACATTAGACGGAACGAAACGAATAATGAGTACTCCTTTCTAATACAGTAGTTAATACGACTACCCGGAAAGCAAGGGATGCATGGTTCGATTCCTTGCAAGGGAAGATTACTCTTTTGTTCCGTTCTGTTGTCATACCATCACGTTGCTATCTCCGCGATAATAAAGACCTAACAAGCACACTTACAAAAGGTAGGTGGGTGTGGGTGTGGATGTGGGAGGTGTGCGGGTGTGGTTGTGAGTGTGGGGTGTGCGGGTGTGGATGTGGGTTTATTGGTAAGAATTACTTATTTTATATTGAATGTAATCTGACGAAATCATTTTTAATGGGTAGATGAATATAGCATTTCTATCATCTAAAAAGATTACATTATATGACTCCATAACTCACGATACAAATGAATTGCCAAACTAGAAAAACGTTACACTTCCTGTCAGGAGCGTAGTCAGAGATTTTCCAAAGGAGGTGTCCGACCTTTTTTGGACGGTGCACGCCAGTAGGAAAATGTTTTTTTGTTTCCCGAAAAGTTTTTCATCCGTGTTCCCTGTAAGTGTTTTTTGGCCTAGGGGGTTTGCAGTTATCGCGTGCACCTTCTGGCTACACCGCTGCTTTTTGATGAGTGAAGTATCGAGGTAAAGGTTATGTAACACCAAGGAATCATAGTCAGATAAAAAGATAATTCTTAGTAACAACAATCTGATTCGATCCACAAAAATCCATTAACTTTTTTGTAATGAATGGTATGCTGAAATAATAGTGAGAGCTTTGTCGAATCGGACTGAACTGCTAATATATTATAGAGAACATTGAGCTGAATACCTTTTGTTTCAAGAGGGTCTATTTTGTGATTGAGTAGCAGACTGAAATGAAATTACGTTAGATAAGATGATTCACATGTATTTTGTGTAAGTTCATTCCAATTTGGATACATAAGTTCCATATACATTCTAATTTCAGGTAATGTGTCTATTTAGAACATTTTTTTGAAGAGATTGATGAAGATACTTTTTTGATTATACCTAAGCAATGGTACAACATATTGAGCTGAACCTTTGTAGAGGAGTAGAGAAAAGTGTAAGGAATAAGTTTTCTAGCTGACACTCTGCTCAATTTTGAACTTTATAAGAGGATGCGACATGATTTTCGAATGTTGCCTGGTCTTCTATGTATTTACCCTGGTGCGTTCTAATTTGATGCAATTTTTGCATTGGTGTTCTTAGTGAAGATGTTCCACTTATATAGAACACAATCTATCGACTTCGTTCTACCGCTCATAATTCGACTATTTCTCAACTTTTTTTTATTAAAAAGTTTTTTCATCAATAGATATGCACAATATGTACCTACTCAGTCATAAAATTTGAGCTCATTTGCTCTCTCTCTCTCTTTTACAGAAATATAAAGGACGGAACATGAGCATAAGAAAACCTCGTTCCAATTAGGAACACGCACTCTATATATCTAAAAACAATGAAAACAATGAATCACTTGAAAAAGAATCAAAGAGTTCTTTCAACTAAAAGACATCTCTAGGAGAAAAAAAAATAAAGATAAGCTTAACGTTGCACTTTATTATGTTCTTTTCATATAGAATCTAAAAATGAAACGATACTTGGGAATTCTGATAGCAGTGAATACATGCAATGAAGATCGAAAAAATACTCAATTACTTTATAGTAGAAAGGATGTTGATAGAGTTGTGGCTGTAAGTGCTGCTACTTAGAACATCTGCACGGCACATCCACACAATGAAATTGTTAGTTTTCATTAGTTTTCATTGTTCTTGAGATATAGCATAATGTTTCTGATCGTGATTTGATTAAAAATAAATGCGGAAACTTCGGATTTAAATCCGAGAGTTATGTGTACTTCAAAAAGTGAATTAGACAGATGAGTCATCCTAGAATGTGTGGATATCAAAATTATACTGGGAAACCTTTCCTATAAACTGTTTATTTCTGTTGGCTATTGGTCCATCAATAGGGCTTGGAGGCGAATAGAGCTCAAATTTGAACTCTTCGCCTTGATTAACTCTAAGAAAGTCGTTTTTTCCTATAACTTGATTTCTATTGGTCACTGCTCAACCAATAATATTTCGAGGCAAGTGGAGTACGGATTCGAGTTCTCCGCCCCAGAAAACCTCAAAGTATCAACTCTATGATCGGAAGATAGAGCTCGAATTGTGAGTCAACTAGATCGTGGACAAAAACGGAACCTGTTTCCCTTTAATTATCTTTGTAATAGGTGAGTTAGCCTTCTTGTTACTTTATGTTTTATATACCATTTTGTAGCTCTTGAAATTCTCTATCGAAAGGTATATAATAGTCGGGGTTTTAGTTGACTATGGTAGGAAAAGTTGTTTACGAAAGCCAAGATGGGTCAATTTTCGCATAGGAAGCTATAGGGAAAAATGACAATTTTTGCAATAACTCACGAATGGCTCGGCCGATCATGCTCATCTTCGAACACGACCGAGACATTGTTAAGACTAAGCTGTGTAGAAAATTTCATCGCGATTGGACTCTCCTTTCAAAAGTTATTGTGTTAACGGCCGGCCGGACATACTGACCGATTCTAGAGTGTACTCACTTTTTGAGTACACAAAAATAGCTCTCTGCAGTATGCCTTTTTACTGAGATATGATAGAAACAGTTATAATAGGAATCTTCACCCTGTTTTTGAACCTAAAAATTTTCACTTTTCGGATTTTGCATTTCGCAGCTATTACACCGTATTAGAGGGAAAATGATGTTTGACCCTTTCCTTTTATTTTTACTAAATCAAAAGTGTCCTCACACGCACGTATATCTTCACACTCACACACATAACAACTAAGCTACATAACGAATCAACTAGAACAGAAAGAAATGCGCATAGATATGTGTATGAATTAGATCCGGGGTTCAAAATATGAGAGAAATATAGAATAGAGAAAAATGATCTAAGATATATCACATCAAAGAAATAACTAACAAGAAGAAAAGAGAACGAAAAAGAAAACACATAATACTACTAGGGTTAGCCGCTAACACACTGCTTGACGCGACCTTTGATTAATTAGAATAGTTTATTTCAATTTCTAGTCAATTTCGTTAAAATAATAATGAAGTCAGTTTATAAAATACTGCTGTGAGCAATCATATGATAGTAGGCTCCACGTCGGTCCATTAAGTCTGTATGAGTACCACTTTCTACCAGATATCCTTTCTCAAGAACGCAGATCAAATCACACGAACGAATGGTCGACAGACGATGAGCAATGATCAGTGAAGTGCAAGTTGGATTCTCTGTTTCAGCTTTTTCAAGAGCTTCTTGCACGGCCTAAGCACATTAGAAGTAACTATTCAATTAATGAACATCGTAAGACAACGAACCTGTTCATTGTAAAAGTCCATGGCACTTGTTGCTTCATCTAACAGCAATATCTTTGGTCGACGAAGAAGAACTCGAGCAATGGCAATGCGTTGTTTCTCACCACCTGACAAGTGACTACCTTTCATACCTACTCTAGTCTCATAACCCTGTTATCATGATGAAAGACTCAATGAAATATAATGTGTTATTCTTCACTCACTTGAGATAACTGCTGAATGAAATGATGAATGTTTGCTTTGGTGGCTGCTTCAATAATATCTCCAATCGAAGCATTCTCTTTACCATAGGCTATGTTTTGAGCAATAGTCAAATTAAACAAGATAGGCTCTTGACTAACCAGACCAAGAGATGAGCGAAGCCATTGTATATTTAGTTGTCGAATATCAACACCATCGAGACACTAAATTTCGCTAGTCGAGTGTTTGCAAGAATATTTTGACATGAAAAAAAGATACTTACGATTCGACCCTGCATGGGATCGTAGAATCGTTCCAAAAGCTGAATGACTGTCGATTTACCACAACCAGATATGCCTTTGTATATAAATTATACGATCATTTTGAACGGGCAATAATTAACTTCAACATACCTACAAGAGCCACACGCTGGCCTAATTGACCAATTCAAAGATTTTATCACAAACTAAACTTAAAATATACGATGTCAACTTACCAGGTTTGATAGTCAAATGAAGTTTATTCAGAATGTAGGATGTCGGCCGACATGGATATGCAAATTTCACTTGATCAAATTCGATTGCGCCTTTGAAATCACTCTGTTATCAACATATTTTAACAAAGAGATAAGAAGAATCTGTTTAACGCCGGATCTTTTACGATATCAATCACTTACCAATTGTAGCCCATTGATAGAACTATTGTCGATAGCTGATGTTCGATTAAATAAATTGAAGAAACTTCGAGCTGCTGACAAAGAGTCACTCAGCTGTCGCGTCCTGAATAAAACATTTGAAGAAACAAAGTTGACCAATGGATTTACTTACAAAGTCATGATGCATCGTACGGATTCCCAGGCGAAAATTGGGTAGACAAACACTCTAGAAGAATATGTATGTAGATAAAATAGGTTTTAAAACTTTTTATCGTACATATTGAGCTTGTTTATGTTCAGTTTTTTGTGTTCAACAAGAATGAGAGCCTGCCAAAAGAGAACCAACAAGATGAATGATCTTGTTCCCCAATAGAGACTTTGTAGTAGGGGGGATATTATTATATCATTTCGACGAATTCTATGGAGAAATATTGCATAAAGATAAAGGAAAAAAATTATTAGAAGGCTGACCTGAACTCCTGAAGAACTAAATCTGAGAATTGACGTAGAAATTCTGTCTCACTTGTTAATTGCTTCACCGTACGCATATTGTGAATGATTTCGACAGCGAACTATTAAGAAAAGAAGCCTCAGCATTAATACTTCGCTAGACATGATATTTTAATCGACATGTCTCACTTACCGAACTTGCTAATCCAAAAACATAATCACAGCGTTTGTTCAATCGTGCTTGCCGACGTATTTGCATGAAAGCAACAACAAACAAAATGACAATATAGAAGAGTACAGTTAATGCCAACTGCCAACTGAAAAAAAAACCGATAACAAGACCAACTCCAAATGTTGCGACTGATTCACAAACAATGCCTAAATAACTGCCAACCATCTGCTGAACAGCCAACCCATCGGATGAGAGACGATTACAAATAGCTCCAGAGCTATTTTCAAGATGATCAAAGAAAGACATTTCTTGACGCAGATAGTGCGCAAAAGCTTTAATACGAATACGCTCGACCAATTTTGAGCCAGATATAGCAAATGCAGTGTACTATTGATACAGAAAATATAAAACATTTCATGCAATATATTCCTACTTGAATAAAACGTATAGCCAAAAGAACAATACCCATCAACAAGAACAGAAGAGAAAATTTTAAAATTTGATGTTTTCGTTCTTCATAAGTACACGCTCCAAATGCCTGTGAACAACCGATAACGACAATGCTGATTTTTCTGTGTGTGAAAATAACTCACAGATACTGTAAGCTTGAGTAGAATAGCATGGATGGTTTGACTTGCTCCAATTATGAGGCAGGCCATGCAGCCGATTAGAATAATGATCCATTCGGGACTATTCATAAACAAAAGTCGCAAGAAGACAGGTCGACAATTCATATCGGATGATGCCTGTTAAAAGAATATTGCGCATGCAAAACATATTTGGACACAATTAAATTCATGTTCTTTACTTTATTGTCGTCGTCAAATTCACTATGGCTAGGATGTAGAGAATGTCCAGCTAATTGAAACAAATGATATTGTTCAAAATATTCTCTTTTTTTGAAATACTGTACGTACATATTTGTTTTTGATCGTCATCTTCGATTGGTGCAGTACTCGTTTTTTCATCGATGTCATTTTCTGCTTTTTCACTCTCTTGAGCTTTCATCATCTCACAATATCGACTTCCTTCTTGTGACATCAGTGCCTCGTGTGTACCTTGTTCGATGACACATCCATTATCCAAAACATAAATTCGATGTGCATTTTGAACTGCTGATAAACGATGAGCTATCACAACAGTTGTTCGACCTATAACTAACTTTAGATGAAATAATTAGAACAGAAAGATACGTACAAACCTTTGCATGCTTGATCGAGTGCTTTTTGGACAACCATTTCATTGGTATTATCAAGAGCACTTGTTGCTTCATCCAACAAAAGCAAGGCAGGTCGTTTGACAAGAGCACGAGCTAAAGCCACACGTTGTTTTTCACCACCACTCAATTGAACACCACGTTCACCGACTATTGTGCCATATTTCTACGAAAACAGAAAACATTAGACATGTCATTAGAGAAAATCATTTGATGCAAACATTCGGTAATTGCATAATGAAATTGTGTGCATTGGCTTGACGTGCTGCTTCTTCAATTTCCGCTCTTGTTGCATTTTCTTTACCAAAGCGAATATTTTCATAGATACTTGTGGCAAAGAGGACCTACATTAAATAGTATCAAATGCAAAAATCAAAAAATAAAGAGACAGACGTACAGGTTCTTGACTGACAACACCAATATTTTGTCGTAATGGTTTGAAATTGCAATCGGTGATTGATCGACCATTAATTATAATGCAGCCCGATAAAGGCTCATAAAAACGAAGTAGAAGTGAAACACATGTGCTCTTACCTATGCGATCAACAAATTATAGACTATCCAACTCCAATATGTTTTTTTTTTGCAAAATACCCACCAGAACCACTTGAACCGACTAAAGCTGTTGTCTCACCGGCACGAGCCGTCAATGTGAGATTTCGTAGGACTAAGACATCCGATCGAGCTGGATAAGCAAAATTGACGTTGTCAAACTGGATATCACCATTTATGTTGATAGCTTCTTGAAAAGAAACCGAACCTTGCGATATTTGTGTTTCATTCATACTTGTATTCTTTTCCTATATGATGCAATAGTGAAAAGATAAGGTGGTACATTAAGCACAACTGTACCTCATCAATCAATCGGAAGACGGACGCCAAAGCACCTCGAGCCTCTTCCAACGATTGAAAGAAAGGACCAACAAATGCAATATTAGTGATACTTCGTACAAAAGTAATCACTATCTACTCAAACGTCGAAAGTCCATCGGTTTTCGAAATGTCATTTGTGAATTGAATAACTTACCACAAGAAGATCACTGAAACTGAGTCTGTTAGGTTCTTCGCGATCCATGAGAGATGAGCCGAAGCTAAAACCAATCGAATAAATCATGAATCCTATTAGATAGATCCATCCATTGAGAAGACCAAATGCGGCACCCTTTCGCAAACTACTCCTATGAGTCGCTCGCAGTTCGCTTTCATATCTAGAATCACAATAAAATTCGAACATGACCATGATTCATGGCTTACAAAGAGTCTTTAACAGTAGATATGTTTCCTACCGTTTTTTTTCAAATTCTCCACCATCGAGCGAAAGCACAGTACGAAGAGAACTGAACACTTCCTGAACAACCTCTCCAGCTTTTGAGTACGCAACCAATTCGTTTCTTGATTCCTTGGCCGTGACCTTTTAAAATTAATATAAGCTAAATCAATCAACAGCAGTTACGTCTACCTTTGCAAAGGCATATGAGCCGATAATAGCAAACGGTATTATGCATATTATGGCAAATGTCAATTTCCAGTTGCTGATTAAGCCAACACAAGCACAGCAAATAGTGGAAAATAATGCCACAAGTACCATTGATAATTCAAAGCCGATGGCTTTGCTCATAATGTCGATGTTACTATGAGACGAGAGGGTCGGATACTGTTTCTATTGCAAATATTGGCAGAAAATTACTTACTTGAACAGCTTGACGCTGAACTGGCTGGTCGAATTTGTATCGCAATACGAAATATTCTACAAAAGACAGAGAGAAAGAAAAAAGAAGAATCGTTTTTTTAGAAAGTTTCGATGGTCGTCTAGATTTTGGTACAAAGTTTTTTGTTTTATGTTCATTATACTTTTTCAAAATATCATAGATTGTTTGACGTGGAGTTTTTTGTTTTAGAAAATGAGACACTGTTGTTTTCGAAACAGAATTCGCAGACGAAATACGGAAGATAATGATTCTTTTTGCTATGTCTTCGTGTTCTCTTCGTGTAAGTTTCAATTATGATTATGAACAAAAAAGTTATATGTCATTCGAAAGAGTTTCTTTCGTTCTATAAGAACACATGTTCATCCTATTTATATCCATCTCCTTGGCCGAGTCATCACCGCTGACATTTCTACGGATACTTTCATATCAGAGATTAGTTGAGAAAAACAAAAAAGAATTTGAAAATAGTATCTGAATGTTCTATAAAATTCTGTGGCGTTTGATAAAAGAAGAAGACTATAGTCATCGAATACAAATGCTTTCAGTGTCATCCCTACGGAATTAAACTGCAGAACACGACCGAGTCTAGAATCTATTGAGTCTGGATTCAGAAATTCTTGGACTTAATGGGCTTTACCCACAAAAGATTAATCAATCAGGTCCGAATCCAACAATTTGATCGGTCTGGTTCAAATCCAGATCCAAAAATCTTGGATCCAATGGGCTCTAAAATGAAGTCATTGTAATCAAGATGGGAAACCTGTCTATGCTTTACGCAATGTCTTCGGGAAACAAGGAGCAATACATCGAAAATCCCTTGAAACCGTCACAAGCTGTGTTACATATAGTGCACACTCCTAACAATGCTTGTCACAATCCTTGGGATAGGATAGGGATAGGAGTCACTTTTCTCGCAGTATACTTCAATACTTAATCTCAGTTGCGTTTCACAATACATATTTTGTAGAGAATAGTACAGTGCATGGTTTCAAAGTATAAGTCTGAACGATGATAATCGATGCAGAAAACTGAGAAACCAATGAGGAGGTCATTAATTCCTTTCCATCTGTTATAGCTGTGTCAAGATGAAGGTGTTTGACATACCCGTTGCAGAAGTGATTGTAAAACACGAATACGTATTCGAGAGATCTGTCGTCTGGCAGCCATAGTGAAGAAAAAATATTGAGCAGCAATACATACGAATTGGGTTGAAGCAATGACTAGGTGCATTCAAGATGCAAACCATTTTTCTGGTTAATACCTGAAAAGTTAAGTTTTTCCTGCTTACTTAAGAGCCACCGTAATTGATGCCTTATATCTTCGTAAAATTTGACTGTAGAAAACGACCGTAGTGACACTAGGCTGGTACTATCATTTGGACAGAGTCTGAAATCGATGAACAGTGAATAAGGAAAGAAGCTGGAATACATCAACGTCTTCTGTAATCAATACTTACTTTTGTGATCGATCATACTTGTAAATATTTGGTTCAGCATTCCATGGATATCCTCTGCTGTTGCTAACAGTAACTGATGCGTTTTCCTGTGGGGGACAACGACCAATAAATGATTGCAACGAGAATACACTCGTAAGTTGACCAAGAACAACTGAAGTTGCAGTGGAAGCCATGCTATTTAGTAGGGTGAAACATAATCCGAGAAATATCAGGATAAGATCAACCCGATCAACAAAACGAAACTATCAAAAAAGTTAAACAAACACTCTGTTGTTCAATATGTATTCACTCTTAATATACTTACCAGTTGAAAATATCCAATAATTGGCTCAGTACTAGTGTGATCATTATCATCATCCAAATTTTCATACTTTTGATCGAGCTGTTTGAAAGAAAAATATTGACGCCAGTTGAACAATCTACATGAAAAAGACATTGTCGTCGATATCTCCATAGAATTAAATTCTCTTATACTTGTTAATCACCGATCGCTTTCTATTGCTATTGCTATCGTCAATAGATAAACGATCAACAGTTGATAATAGTGGGTGCGTGTCACTCATAATGTGATGTATTGTCTTTTATCTTTGAGAGAAGTCAAAAGTGAATTTTCCACGTAGCACAGAATGATAAGCATATATGATACGCTTGGCTGAGTATACGTGCTTTGCCTATAAATAATAGGCATCGATAATATGAAAAGTACGATTGCAAAATCTAACCAAACAAAAAGAGCCACGTATCACGTAATGATGATCGGCGATACAAAGCGAGAAAAATTGATTGGGTATTCGACTCATCTTATCACGATAATAGCAACAATAGAAAAAAAATAGGTGGAGTATGTATCGGGAAATAAAGCCATGACTATCAATGAGCATAAACTGATAGCAATGAGTGTTGAAGCCGGTACCGGTAAACGGCCCGTCCTGTTCGGTCGAGGATTGCTTACCCACCGATAGACGCAACTTTTTCTAGATCGATCGGTCTAGGTTTGCTTTTTCGAGTTTTTGTATGTTTTTTGTTTGAAAAATTGATCATACAAGTATTTGTTTTTACATATCAAAATATTTTTACTGATGTCAATGACTATTTCTATGGAGAAGCATTGATTAGGATACTTCTATTAAGTAAATATTCATGAAAAAATTATAAAACCTAATTTTATTTTTGTCTTTTCAATAAAAAAAATCTTCGAGAACTGTATTATTTTTTTCAAAACGATATTGTTCTATTGTATATTCCCTGTCTTCATTTAATACACATCGACCAGTGCATCGATCAAAAATAATAGTTTTGTACATTCATTCTGTTTTTCATTATTGAGATTTGAACGCTTTATTTTCTTTTATTAAAGATTATTAAAAAAAAATAATCTTTTTGTCTATATCTGCATATCAATTTTTTTCTCTGCGACATCTTATTCTGTTTTTTCTTTTCTAGTGAATAATCTTTCTAACCAATTATCATTTTCGTTTACGAGTTGATGCCATATTATCATAAAAAAATTATAAATTCAGATACTACTGCAGTTTTAGTCATACCGTCAATAATATATATGTACAGAACGAGAAAAAAATTCGATTAGTCCGGCGTATAACCAGTAAATAAAAAAAAGAAAATAAGATATATAAATGTCGTATGAGAACGAAAGACTTTATTCAGAAAACAAAATAGAAGGCAATTATTGAACACGATAATTTTCAGAAGTTTGTAATATTGAATTTTTTAACGGTTTATCGTCGCCAAACAAATTCCTCTATATATGTTGGTAGTAAAGATCTTTGAATTCCGTTTTGTTTTTTTTTGGTTTTCGTTTTAAACGCATCCACGTGTTCTCTATATTTTGTGTATAGACATATGTTACAGGATCAACAAAATGAAGTGAGTGGTTAACTATTTTATGAGTGTGATTAGGATTATTTCTGAAACCTATATACGCTTTCCATTCATGTGAGTGAATAGTACTGCCTACAAAAATCTATTGTTGATGTTGACGCTTGCAATTTTCTGGTATTTATGTTGTCGATATCTTCGATATCTATGTTAAAATCCATTATTAATACGATTTTATAGTAAATTAGAATTGAGAAATTTATAATAGAAGTGCAGTGAAAACATCAGCTTTATATATAAATATTTTTTATTTCACGCAAATTTAATTTCTTTTGAAAAATTCACTTATTACTTTATTATTGATAGAAATTACAATTTATGTGTCATCAACATGTGACTCTTTTTATTCATCGTTCTCCTATTACATCAAAGAGTTATACTATTTTATTAAAAAATTCATCTTGATTAATAGAGCAATATATCTTTCATAAAATATTCATAAACAGTGTTTTTATAAGACATATACATGTCTTATTTGCTTTTTTTTATTTACTGATTATGCGCCAACTAGCCGATTTTTTTCTCGTTCTATAAATATATATTATTGATGGTGTGATTAAACTGCAGTAGTACCCATCACACTCTCTAAAAAATCGACCACCCGTCCCCTCTTATTACTACACTACAAATTTTAAATGAATTCTGTTTTCTTGGAAACCAATTTAATAAAGAGTCAAACATTTTCACATTATTATTGATCGTTCAAGGATTTTGTAATTTTCAGAATATGCTTGACCCTCTGAAAACAGAATTTCCATCGATTTTTTGAAAAAAAATTCTGGTATGGGCATGGGTATGTGGTGCGGGTGTCAGCTGGTTTCGAATGAATATTCACACCCACACCCACACTCAGTTATGCAATTCGTTACGCTGATTCAGAATTCAAGATCCTAGAGGCCCGTAGGCCTTTGTAATTTCTATATCATTACTCCTTATCCCTTTTAATAAGGAGATTTCTCATGAAATTTAATTTTTATTCTATCATTGGATAAGATATCTATATTCCTCTAAATATTTAATTCAGTGGTAAATTAAAAAATAAATTTCATAAGAAACATCTTTATCACAAAGGGGTGGATAGTTATGACACAGAATCTAGAAAGATCTATGGATCGCTGGAATACCAATATTCGGAATTAGTGCAGTAAATTGTAGACAGTCATGTCTATTTCGAGTAAAGAACAATTCACTACTTTCATTAATCGACATTCTGTCAGTGAAATTGCCATGAAGTAGAAATGATTTCTCCTTCTAACAATGGTTGAAATAGTAATCAGAAGTAGTTTGATCTTCATTTAATGTTATAGATCAAAGTGGAACATGTTTATATGATAAGAAAAACATTTTTTCTTTCGATGAAAAGAAATATAATCTATTGTACTGATGAATATGTTCACAAGTTGTTAGATCAATTAAATGTTTGTTTGAAAAATGAAACTATAACTTTCATTGATTCGACAGATTATTAATGTAAATGAAATTTCTCATCGAATAAATATTCTTAGACTGATAGGAAAACACTTGAGTTTGATTATATCAAGCGAAAAAACATCGAATAAATATGGAAAATCAATCATTTAGATCAAATCAAATTCTCAATATCATTCTTCTCTATTGAAATATTGCATTCTTATCATTCCATTCGTATGGTAATAATATGTGCTTCACAATATCATCTGAAATTATCATCATCGTCGTCGTGACGATATTGCCAATGTAAATAAGTAGATAACACTGGATAAATAGTCAATATTCTTTCTAGCTCTAGTCAAATCACTCCGAATCACTTAAGTATGATAACTATCGTATGCGTGAGAGGCAATAATGTCTTTGTTGCTCTTTTCTTCACCTGTGTGAATAAACTGAAGCACATGGAGTCGAATACTATTCTTTTATATCTCAATCGCTCATGCACGCATATCATAATGTACAAATCATACATATAATTATGATAGTGATTATGTGTGCAATGTGAGAGTAAGGCCATAACATTTTTGTTATTTTTCTCTCTGTTTGTAAAAATGAGTATGAAATGAATTTTTAGCTACTACAACGTTTGCTTTGACACAATTAAATGTTTCATTAGATCGTTTCCGCATCCAGCTTAAAGAAAATACGAGGGGACATGTATTTCTTCCATATTGACAAATCAAAATCAAAGTTTTAAAAATATAATCCAAGCTACTATGATGAATTCGGCGTCACTATGTTGTATGAAGTTGTTGGCTGTAATTTATAGCCGATGAGAACGATTTCAATTGTGAATTAACAAAAAAAAACAACTTACTAAAATTATAATTGTATTCTTTTTTTTTGTTTATTTTATTTTAAGATAAAACAGTCTACTGATAACCATTGACGACAGTTGAAATTCAAGAGAAATACTATAAATAGCACTTCCTATTGAGCTATCATTGCTACAGCAAGATTGCTGATATAACGAGCAAGATGGCAAAATTAAATTTTGATCGAGTAAAAGAAAGTCCAAGATTATGTATCAAGAGCAATATGGATGATGATTACGGTGCAATATGTTCTAATGATGAATATTTTATTATTTATTGTCAAAGTTCTGGTTTTACTCTAATTGATAAAGAAGGGCACGAACAAAAATTAAATACTAAACATGATTTTCCTGTGATTGGTATTCGTTGGTCATCATATCTACAAAAATTTCTTGTTTTATCGGGTGATAATGATCATAAACTTTATTTATTAGATCCAATAAAACAAAAATTAAAAATGATTAAAAATTTTGGTGAAAATCGACCCACGGATGTCTGGACTTGCTATGAAAAGACATTACTTATAGTCACTCAAAGAAGTTATCGACTTATTGAAATGTATCGTCTGCCGTCACTATCAACTACCGATGACGATGAATTGATCATAAAATCATTAGAACAACCAATTGAAATATTGACACCATCAATAGTGTGGGGAAAAATAGACCAAATTAGAGAATTGTGTTTCAGTCATGATGGAAAATATTTGGCTCTTGTGTCATATTACCTGGACGACAGTGCTGGACGTCCTGAGGAAGAAGATTGGCTTCAATTATTTGCCTTTCAACATGATGGTGAGGGCAATAAGATACTGAAACGTCACACGTATCCTACTCTTACAGCAGGATCCTGCGTACTTGCATTACCAGAAGAAAAATATCTTACGAATAACGCGTATAGTCGTAAACATCTGCTAATTTTAGTGGATTATTCAGAAACAGCAGAACCTAATAATATCGACGAAAGTGATCCTAGTGATCGTCAAAAGTGGTTCGTGAAAGAAACAGATTATGATACACAAAATACTGTATCAGAAATTTCAATTTGTGGTAACTGTTTGGCTATAAAAACATCCGACAAAGAAATTTGTTTTTATGATTTATAATTATTTATGAAATATAAACATATTTAATCGAGTAGTTAGAGATTTTAATAATTATATATATTAATTTTTTTTTTGAAAAATATTTTATTCTTTACATTTGATTTAATTGATTAATATTTTTAATGCTGTCATTACGAATAAAAAATTAACTTACAGAAAACAACTGATTGATTCATGGAACCATTTCTATTGAGTCAAGTAGTCGAGTCCGAGTCATGATTCGGGCTCGCCCATCCCTGATATGACGCATAAGGAATCTATGAGTATACATAGATAGATATATGTTCCAGATCTCACTCTTTTTCACCGAATATATGATGCCCTTTTTCCATTGAACAATAGAAAACCATTAAGAAATCAGTCTTAATGATGAAGTGGAATGAATAAATTTTCAATGCAAGGAAAAACATTTAAGATGATTTCTACATAATAAGAAATATCGTTTTATATAAGGATTGATTAAAAGAAAACCTGAAATTTGTTCATTATTAACCCTAGTACGCCTAACATGGGTCATTTCTGACCCAGACATAAAAATTTGAAAATACACCAGAATATTTTGCTAATTTCGGGTTTAAGGAATCATTCATCATCTATTACGAATAGATAGCTGTTGCGTAGTCTAAAATGAAACTAATTTCTCCTATTCCATCTCATTATAAGCCTTCAATACAATAAAATACAATTTCATCAGTATATAACATAAAACTAGACAAGAGAACAAGTTAAACTTTCCATTAAAATTTAAGAGTCATGCACCATTTTAACTGTATATTTATCTCCATCTTACTTAAAAGTATTTATTGATTGGGTTTTGGATTATCCAGTTAGGATGATGTATGATTCATACGATTAACTTTTGGATCGAAGATATTCATCTATCATCTAGTACCTCTTCATTTTG